ATTGATTAACCGTTCGCAGTTGTGTCCGCTGTAAATTACCGAGGCTCTTTAACCGTTGCCATCGCATGGAGGCTGGTACTCGCGTAAAATGAACGTCTATCATCGTATCGAATTAGCCTAAAGTGGAAAACAAACGATGAACTTCGTTTAGATACTATTCATGATCGCGCATCGCATTACCGCCGTCCGTTCCGTGGAAATGAATTCCGAGGAGCGTCACATCTGCATATAAATGCGATCGCGAGGACTTAATAAAAAGGATAGTAATTTCTTCTGTTCGCTGATAGAGTTTTTTCCCTGGTCACGCGATAAGAGCGAGTTCCGATCCGAGGAATCGTTAAAGGTCCATTCCTCTCGCACGCATTTCTATTTACGACATCGATTCCGCGACCTTCGAATCCCTCTCTCTCTCTCTCCGAGTATTTTCTCGGCGAGCGATAGATCGATTTCATCGAATAAATTCAAATACTTCGAAGGGAAAGACCCCTTTCTTTTACAAAAATGGAAAAACGAACGGAAATTTTGAGCGCGATTCTAAATTCTACTACGATACGCGGAGCAGCGTCGCGATTTTATCTTCGATCGGGACCTTCGAAAGAAGCACTTCAAGTTTCAACTCCGAATTACGTATTCGGAGGCCGTCCCGAAGGGGTTAATACGAATGTTAAACGGCCGCGCGTAATGGGACAAGCCAAGCGCGCCGAACTGCGTGTCTTGTGCGGGCATCGAAGTCTCCGGCTCGAGCAGCTGTCCGAATCTCGCGCGCCACGCATCGAAGTCTCCGCGATCCGACGCAGAAACACCAGCGGACTGCTCGCGTGTTTTCCTGGCGACGTTAACTTTTCTATACGATATTTCGCGCGAAATAGCGCGGCAAGATTCCATTATAGAAAATCGAACGCTATCGAACACTACGAATCGGTCGGACGTTCGGTTTTCCTTGTAACGGTTCCGAGAAAACTAGAAGTCTAATTAAATCCGCTCCGAAGCATGCATTATCCAGCGTTCTTCCGACTCGTTGTGCTCGTCATAAACGACAAACGAATCGAATTAACAGTCCGGACGCGAGGTTTTGCCTCGCGTGATAGAACCGAGGCGTAGAAAAACTCCGCGCGGACGATCTGCATAAGCGACGCGCGTTTTAATAATCGCGCATTGATTGCACGCAATTGTTCCCCGTAGATCGGCGCCGGGATAAACCGTTGACTCTCATCTAACGGGGAAACGCAATAAATCTACGAAGTGCATCGACATCGCTGCGTATCAATATTCAATGGTTTCTTCCTTCTCGACCGGCAGCGAAGCTGCGAGCGAAACTTTTACGAATTGCGCAACTCTTTCGAGCCAGCGATCGTTCCGAACGTTGGATTACGAATCGATTTATCCGATAGACGTATAAATAACAGCTGCTTCTAGGTTTCGCGCGGACAACTCATGCTTCTGGTCGATGCAACGCGATATTCCGGAGCGGCGCTCCTGAAAATCTAATTAAAAGGAATCACTCTCCCGCTGGAGATGAGTGGATAGTGGATTGAAACTTTGTAATTTCCCTCGATTCTTCGGTTCAATCGTAAAACCGCAACAGACTTTACGATCGCGAGGCTCGCCGCGGAATCAACTTTTATATTAATATTCGATCGTCGTAAAAATCACTGTACCCGGTGCAATCACCGTCGTAAACGGTCCCCGAGGCTGCGAATGGTGGCCCGATCGCGAAGGTCCGACGCGCATATCCGAACGCACCGGCTGCACGGTTCCCGATGCCGATCTGCTGTTCGAATCGACATAATTTGAAGCGCTCGCGTGCTTCGTATCTCGAGGATCTCGCCGCGTCAGCCCACCGGCCCGCCTCGCGGTATTAGCGGCGCGTCCGCCGGCTCGAACCTGTTGGTTTACCTAATGGCAGTCATTGTCGCGATACGCATACGTTTACCGGCCGCGATAAAGACGTTACGATCTAGCCGGCGATAAAGGGGCCGAATTCGCGGGCACCGCCGCTAATCAACGGAAGCGAAACGGTTCCGCCCCGGTTTATCGCGTGACGATCCGGGATCCGGAGGTGGTTCGCGGACAATTTCGGCCTTTATGACGAAGTTGAAATTTACGTCCGCCCTGCCCGCTCTCCTCCTCGTCAGCCGTGACACGATCGTCCCGCGTTTAATCGAGCCGCATCGGCTAACGACGCGCTTCACAATCGTCGCGTACCCGAGGCGAATGAAATTTGCACCTGCGAGCGGCGTAATCGAGCGCGCGAGCGGACGCGCGCGGGGCCATCGACTTCGAAGCGAGGAGAGCAGAGGGAACGGAGAAAAAAGGGGGAAATAGGGGAGAAGAGGAGGCGGCCGCTGGAAAAAAGGAACCGGTTCCCCTGTCCATTTTTCTAAACCAGTTTAGGACCCAGCAACTCTTCGCCCGGTCCAGTCTACTCACTATACCGTTGTAAAAGAACCGCGTCAGACTATCATTCCGCGCTACCGCGCCGAGGAATAGGCGCCCCCGGGCCTAAAACCCAATTAACGCGTCCTCCGGGCAGCGAATTACGTAACTGGAAATCAGCATTAGGAAACTAGGAATTTCGATTTTATACCCCCGTCCGGTTCCCGGCGGGATCGTTCACGGGATCGTTGGGTTTCGATCGACCCTCGCCGCGCCGTTCCCTCGCAATCGGCTCTGAAACGAGCCAAAGGTCTGCGCGAGTCCGTCGAAAGTCTTCAAGGAAATTCCTAATTATCGCGGACCTTCGGAAATTTGTATATAAACTCGGAGATTGCATCCGCGGCGATGAACAATTAACCGTAATGGAGTCTCGGTTCCTTTCCAGTTTCCCGCGAGCCTCCGCGGACGAGCGTAACGATCCGTTTAATTCGCGTTTTTACCCGGCGGGGGGGAAAAATTCAATTCGCGCGGCGATACGCGATCTGCCGCCGGTGATTCTAATATTCAATGTTCATTACGGATTCTATTCCCAGCGTAATCGGCGCGATCGAACGGCGAAGCGTAAAGATATCGTCGCTAATTCCATTTGCTTCGACGGGCGACCGTTTTGCGTTGTGATTGATGGACGCTCCGCCGGGACACCGCGGCGAATCGGCGAGCCGATTTTTCTGGGGCGACCCCCGTTACTTGGAAACTGTATCGCGCGCGGTTCTCCCATGGAAAAGGAGAGAATCGCTCTCTCCCGTGTACGCACAATACCGTTGCTCGCGGATGGCTGTCGCGTTAGGACGACCGTTGCTCGAGAACAAGTGCCGCGACATCAATGAAACGCTTATGCAATCGGTGTTACGGGAACCGTTGCGTTGCTCGCTCGGTTTCGTTCGCGTACGATTGGTCCCATTAACGCGTCGACCGTGTCACGGTGTTTACCGATCACCGATTCCGAATTGCTCGGATACTCGAATTAACGATACGACGGAACCTCTGTTGCGTAGGAATCACAGATACATGGAACTCAAGATGCAACTTTCTTTTACCATTCGTAGAAATCGTAAAGCAGAAAAGCATGCTCCTCGACCGAGCTACTGTATCGCGTCAGTTTCGACAAAAACGAAATCACTTAGCAATCACCGTGCAAGAACGATAAGAGCGTAACATCTGTAAAAGTTTCGTCGCTCGAATCTCCCCGTGAGCGTCGCGGGCACACAGGCTCGTATCAAAAACTCGTTTCTCGTTCGCAATCTTCCTCTCGTTTCAGCCTTATTTGCCGCGCTAATGACGTTCGCTTATTTCGCATACTATGTATCAGCTGCTAAACCAAAGACGCCCGCTCTTATCGGGCATCGTGGCGCAGCGACCGAGAACAATTTATTGCGGCGTAAAGTCGCGGGACGAGCGTATCGACGAGGAGAAGGAGCGAACGGTCCCCGGCGCCCGGCCGATTTCGTCTCGCTAATGCCCCCGAACGATCGAGGGACGAGTCACGCAATTTGCGCGAAAGAGCCCGACAACGAGCGGATTACCAAACGAAATTCGCGAACGCTGCCCGGCTGAGTTGCAACGGCACCTGTGCCGTTGCGTGCGTGCGCGCGCGCCTTAGGTCCTCTGCACCTGCGGATCGAGCCCGAAAATACTCTCTCGCGGTCGCGCTCGCTCGCGCGCGCGCACTCTTTCTCGGAGCGAAGAAAGCGCGTATCCTCCCCGTGAGTCGATGGAAACCGAGAATTTTAATGAGCCACCGAAAACCGGCTCTCTCGCCAATCTCCGCGGTTCATCGATCCTTATCCCGGGACCAATGTCGCCGGGAAAAAATTGTTATAATTTCTCATAACGTCGCCGGCGGAATTTCGCCCGCGGGACTAGCGTTCGTCTTCGGGCGAGTTTCGAATACCTCGGGTTGCTGTCCGATCGGTAGATGTCTGCCGAAGATTCGGGACGGCGTCGTTGAATTTTAATTAGCGCGCTTACGGCGCGACCGGCTACTTTTTGCGCTCGACGGCGTCCTATCTTCGTAATCGCGGTTACATGAAATTTCCAAGGTTTTTTGCAATCGCGGCGGACGACTCGTGCAGCCGTTGATATCGTTATCGACCGCTTCCCACGGTTGATCATGGAAATATGAACGCTTACGCTGGTACCGGTCGCGAGGGAGAGGCGAGAGAAGAATAAGAACGTTAACCCGTTACAGACAACAATCTGTGCAACGATCGTGAATTTCTGCTGCCAGTGAACTAGTAGAGATATCGTTTCCGAATGAAACGTCAGTTCACCTTCAATCAGCTCTCTCAAGAATGGATTAACCCTTTCGTTACCACGTTTGACCCCCTGACCGTTTTCATATAGTATCACGAAGAAACAATTGACGCGCAAGCGATCTATCGTCTAGGGTTCGCTAAGATCTCGAAGACTAAAGTTCGTAACACTTTTCCGAATAGCAATCGATCAATCCATCACGCTGCTTTCTCGCGCGCAACGTGTCCGATCCTCGCTCGGCCCGACGCGAAACGCGGTCGAACGGCGTTGGCCGGCGAGAATGTAAGGGAAGAATGCGAAGGATGACTTACATTGGTGTTTGTTAACGATGAGGCTGAGGGGTTCGGCGCTGAGCGGACTCTCCTTGCCGCTGCACGGCGGCGGGCTCTTTCCGATGTGTTGGGTGGTCTCCAGCAGCCTGAGCTGCTGCTGGTGCAGCCGGTTCTTGATCAGGAAGATCTTCGGCATCCTGAGGGACGTTGGCGCGCGCTAACGTGTCACACTTCACCCCGTACAGTTTCACGCCACCATTCCCACGGCCGGCGGCGCCGCGTTCCTCAGAACCATCAACCAACACCAGAACCAACAAAACGCACTCTCCAGTCTCCGGCCGAATGGGTTCGGAACTTGGCGTATATCCACTGTCCAGGTGAACGATATACCGCGGCGTTCAAACGGGAGAACGGGACGTTTCACTCCGGTACGCGAAGGAAACGCGATAAAGGAAATCCCAAGTGTCAATGGCAACCGGTCCGCGCGCTCGCATTCCACGCGAGATCCACCGTGCGGGAGGGTATTCGTTGTACCGTTGCCCGATTCGAATCCGACGCGATCACTGTTCGTAGCCACTGTCAACAACGAAGCCACGGGTGTCCGCGAAGCGCGGAGATCGATAAGCCTCTCTGTCTTCTCAGTCCAAGGTCTCTCTTTCCTCCCACTGTTGTGTGCGTGCGTGTGCCTCCTTCTCTCTCTCCCTCTTCCCTTTCCTTCCTCCTTCCTTTCTCTCCCTCTTTCGGCTCGGTCTCAGCTCTGTCTCACTCACTCCTTCCCTATCGCGGATTTACAGTTATCCTGAACGATCCACGGAGGCCATGGATCGCGTAAACGCACACGTACGACCGACCTCTGGTGAACGACTGAGGCTCCGTTGCTTCCACGGCGGCCGGGGCCCCGAGTCCCCGGTCTGGCCCCCACCAGACCCGGCCGGCTCCCCACTCTCCAGGCCGGCTGACTGGCCCGCCTTCCCCCTCCAGGCGGCCGCTAGTCCGCGCTACACCCCATCCTGATTATTTGGTCGCTTTAACAACGCGGAGCCGAGCTGGAGATGGAAACCGCTCGGCGGACAGCGCGCATGCGCCTAACGGAGCATCGTACGTGTGCTGAAGCGTGCGAGTAGTCTCTTTCTCCTCCCCTCTCGCTCGCTCGCTCGATGGTTT